ATATATATATATATATATATATATTCTTGGTCACATCATCATAACAATTGATATCCTATCCGGAAGCTAACTGCCTCATCATCAGAATGGCCACAGAAGAACTATGAGCATAATTAAAATTCAAAGAAAAAATATAATTAAAATTCAAAGAAATATAACAAATAGAGAAAAAAATAACAAATTCACAAATTTTTTGCAAACAAGCTTGATGGTAATAAAAAATTCTAGGAATAATTCCAAAAGAATTTAACAACAGTCAAGTCAGCATATACAAAATTTGTTAAAATCATTAAATTCATAACATGATTAAAATTTACTAATTTTTTGTATTTTTGTTATACAAGATACATAAATATTCTTCTCAATAATTTATGGTATTTCATAGAATATGAATAAATATTAAATGCATATAAATGCCTTATAAGTATATATATGTCATTTAATTAAAAAAATATAATAAATTCAATTGAAAATATCCATATGGATTCATAAAACATTAAAACTTAAAGGAACATCTCCCTTGTTAAAAATTGAACAAAATGATAAAATATTACGACTTAAATAAGATAACATAGTTGTGGCTACCCCTTTCTTTGTCCTTCACTCACCCCCTTCAAATTTTTCTCAAGACATTAATGCTAATTTTTGGATTAGGTTGATGTGAGGGCAGATTATTTTGTTTTGTGTATTTTTTTGTGCTTGCTTTGTTTTGTTTGCTCGTTAGAACTATTTGGTTAGGATGGGTTTTCCTTATTAAACTGAATGTTAGGATGAGTAAATAGTCTTTTCCCTTCATGCATTATAAAATTTATTTACATATTATGATTTACTAACTTTATTTTGTATGACTATAATAAGCTTAAGACTCTGTTTTGCAAAACTATGTAGTAAGCCTGAGCTGCTATAATAAACATATGTTTACTTTTCCCTATTGAGTTTGCTAGAGTTAGGATATTTGTTTTAGTTGGCTAACTATTGATATCTGGATTATACAAAATAAGAACAGTAAAAAGGAAGAACAATGAGGATGAACCCCAAAAATCTCAAAGCGTGGACAACAATATCCAGATGACATAGTTGACCAATGAGTCTACCGTATGTCTGGGGTTGGATACCCATTTTCGTATTATTTTACTGTTGTATTATTCTACTTCTATTTATTTTGTTGTGATCGATTAGAGGTTTGTCAACTTCTAGGTTGATGTTTTTTTTTTCCCTTGATTTATTGGTAGAGTCTTTAAAGTCTAATTTTTGTCCCCATTTTAACTCAAAATTTTTTTTTTAAAATTTTAAAAAAATCATAACTAAGACAAAATTAATATAATACATTACATTCACACCTTGACAATATTGTTGCATTTAAATGACAAAAAATGAAATAAAATAAAGTTAACCGGAAACCCCAAAATTTAGGAATAGCCACGAATCACCCTTAGGCATATGCATTCATATTAGTTCTATTCCTTATCTTTATACCCTGACTCATTGCACAAAATGGGTGATTTGTCCTTTGAGAATTATTGCCTTATATAGTGTGTTTGCCTCTGCATACTGACTTAGCATATAATTGAACTTTTGTTCTTTCATCATCAAGGACATGAATACATATACATAGTATGTTTCATTACTTGATACTAAAAGTTAAACAAATAAAATACTTAGGTGACGTGAGCATAAAAAAATTATAAATTTGAAATTGCAAAGAAACATTTTTATTAGTCTTTAAAAATTTGCATACCATTCATAATTAAACATATTGATTTTATAATCAAGTTGCATGACCTACTTTTTAAATAAATAACACTATAACCTATCTTGCATTTCATGAGACTTGTCATGCATGGTTTTATAATGATTGGGTGGGCTTAGATGAATACCATTTTTATGTATATGTAAGATTTTGCTCAATCATTTATAGGATTTTGCTATAAGTCTCTTGTTTGCTGCATTTTTTTCTCTTTAGACTAGGTTTTGAGGTTTAATTTATTCTGATAAACTTCACATTTATTCTTAGGATTCTGAGCTTATTCGTCTAGTTTATGTTGTAAATGCCCACCTTCTAGGTTTTCTTACGATCATATATCATACGATACGAGTACTAAAATTTTAATAAAATGAAAATTCCAATATTAAAATCTCTTCATCTTTAAAATTGATTAAGCCAAATAGTAGAATAGTTGACGTGTCACTGAGGCTTTTAGTATCTTCGAAACTTCCTACTTTTCTTCTTTTGGGTTATGAAAAGAATTGTTCCATTGTTTGGCTTTCCCAAATTCTGAATAATCAATAATGGAAACTTAAGAATTGAAATTCTTGAAGATATAACCTTAGCTTTAACTAAGAGTTTTTTTAAGAGATTTTTTTTATTAAGATGTAATTAAATATGAAAGTTTGTCTTTATAGGAAGTTAGTAACTCAAATTTGTCTTTATAGGAAGTTAGTAACTCGAATTTCTAAACCCTATCTAGTCTTCGATTTAGGGTTAGGAAAGATTTATTGGTTTAACTTCAAACCCATCAAATTTCAAAAATTTCATTATTTAAATAATCAAATCTATTATAAATTAGTGTTTCTATCTCTCAAGATGATCCATATTTTTAATATCTTGACATAACACAAAATAAACCAACAGTCGCTCGAGTTATTGGTGAAGTCAACACAGATTCACCACTTATCATTCAATTTTTGAACCATCACTATGTTAGCCACCTAGTTTGGATATTGTACCTCTTTGATGTATAAAAACACCATTAATTTTTACATCTCTTCTCGGATGGATTTCTCCAAGGTAAACACTACTAACCTCATCTTTTGCTTGATGGCCCAATCCTCTAGGTTGACATTCAGCCGGTGATAGATGAAATTGAATGCATCTCACGACATATCCTGAACCTACCAAGAAACTACGTCATGATATTTGTACAATGTGGCAATGAGATCCTCCTTGTGACCTACATCAAAATTCATGCTTAGCTTAAAAAAACTTATTCATATCTCTGTTCATGATAGGAATCTCTTCAATAGCTTTGTTGGTATCCAAATCGCTTCCTTGCTAGATGTCTAGTTCCAAGGCATCTTTATGTATGCTGCTTATGGTTAATAAATAACAAGTACAAAAATGCTCCAAATCTCCTTAAACAATGATTATTTCTCCTTTGCCTGAAAACTTAGTTGTCACATGACAAGTTGATATGACATTTGAACGTGTTGAGGGGTGGCTCAAAATGGAGTTGTAGGTTGTTGGTGAGTCGGTAATAGTGAATTATTTATCATCTTCCCCTCTGGTGATGAGCAAGGCTAGGACTCTCAGTAGTATCTTTTCATCCAAGAAGACATAAAGTGGCTCAGATGTGAATGATAGCAGCGTGTATCACCTAAGTTAATTTTGTCAAAGATAGATTTAAATAAAATATGTATAAAATTTCATGTCAATAAAGATATTGCTGATTTGGAAATTGGCAATTTTGGCCTTGAACATAATGGCATTGTTGTAAGGGTTACGCTTGACGCATAGATCTTCTTTAGTGAAGATGATATGCAGATGGTGCATGATCCACCCTTTAGGATGAAGCGACCATACATAGCTATCCTGGACAGAGTCTCTTCAGATAAGATTGACAA